TGAGATGAACCAACTAATCGACGTCCCGATATCAATGACCATCTTGCCCATAGTTGAAATACCTATATACAATCTCTCACCAGACATCCCTATGCACTTTCCCACGCTTACTACAACAATTCCTACTTCCTATATCACTTGAGATAGTGCTAATAGTCTTGAACCTCTTAGCTACCGGTAGCATCGTCTTTCATCCTCTGCTGGGCCTCTATCTAGATCTTTGGAGACCTATGCTCTCAATCTTTGGAGGCACCTGGTCCTCCCTAAATCGGATCATGAATTCCTCCATGACATGGTCTCTACTTCAACCACATTAATAAACTAGGCGATCGAATCCCAAATATTCCTCAACACACCACGTAGAATATCTAAAGCATACTGGACTTTTTCCTTTTCAGGGTTAAAACTGGTGTAAAATATGTTGGATTAATGTCTAAGTCCATAACTATATTTGGTATGTACTTGACCCGACCCGGCATGGTCCATTTGGGTTGCACTTCACCGACACAATTTATATGGATAGTCTTTTGAGAATAGTATATTTATGATTTATATTAATATATTATAAGTTCTAATATATTAATATGGACTCATATTATTTAATTAGTATTGATCAAGAATTAATTTAGAATTAATTAAGTGATCAAAAAGAACTAATTAAATATAGACTCTTATATATATGGAATGGGCCAAGTTCATTTAGGTTGGGCTAAGCTTTCATGGATGGTCCATGGAGCTTTTAACCCATGGATCCTATGTAAATGAAAGGTCATGGGTATTAGGGTTTACATGGATGTAACCCTAATCCTCCATAATATATAAAGGGGTCCTTGGCTCACAAAATTGGCACAAGTGTGTGAAAATAAGAGTGGGTCGATTTTAGTGTGCATACATACTCTCTCAAGTTCTTCCAAGGTGTTTTGGTGATTTGTGATTCCATTTGAGGCTTCCACACTATTGGGGCTAAGCTCTTAAAGCTTGAAGACATCAGCTACATCAAAAGGTATGTCATATAACTAGAATTTTGTAGTATAGGTGCTTCATAATATGCTAGTTAGGATGAAACCTTGGAATAGTTAATATTTGCATGTATAATAGAGAAAACATAGATCCAAGGTTAATAGGGTTGCATGTACACCATAGGAGTGTTAGAATGCTCAAAACCCAACAAAATACTCCCTCCATCTACTTAAAAAATCACATACTGAGAACTCGATATTTCCTTGCCTTAGAGACAGCAGGTTGATACACTGCCATGCCATTGCCAGTGACGTCCCGGTCCGTCAACTGTTCAACCTCCAAAATGATTATAATCCTCTTCTCGACCATCTCAACCATTTCCTTCTTGAACCTTGTAACCAATCTTAGTACCACCTTGAACAAAGCCTTAGAGATTTCAGAATCCACTAGAACATATAGGTCTACATTAACCAGACTTGATCCACCATGACCGGTTATGCCTTTGTCAAAAAATATAACCATGCTCTCCCTGTCTAACTATCACTATACCACATATATAAATGGAAACAAAATAAAATGAATTCATAATGTTACCTCACATTATTTCCCAACTTTCAGCTCCTTAGGATCCTTATGAATCTCGCAAATTCAAGTACTGATCATGTGCTTCTGGTAGTATGGATCATACTACCTACCGCACCTATCAATACCTACCCCAAGAATCATACCAAAGCACCTAAGTTGCTTCCCTACAACCACTACCCAACATCCTATCATTAAGTAAAGCTCAAACACTAAGATACTTCCTAGGCATTCCTAGGATTTCCCTCTCTACTCACAAACCGAAAAGGTCTCAGGTAACACCGACAAATCACCTCATGAATTCAAGTCCTGCATAACCAAATATAAGATAGACATTCTAATAAATGTCTCTATCCTAAGGCCATTATCAGAAAAGAAAAGACAATAAGTGTGAATCAAGAATTCTAAGACTATCCAGTCCTAGTCATGTACAACCATACGACATTCAGTTAGAAATTTGTCAATATAAGAATGAACGCTAACAATAACCCATCAGAAACATAACATGCATAAAAGACACCTTTACAAAGTAGACATTCTAGCATGAATTCCAGAGCCCATCCTTAGCCTAACTCTAGCATGCATATCAAACTACAACATGGATTACATATAAAACATTTATGGGTATTTTTGGGAATTACTTACTTGAGCTAGGTTGACTGCACGCATCACATCCTTTTCTTTTTATAAAACTTTTAATAAAAATGTTTTCATAAAACAAATCTCTCAGTCCTTTGTTAAGTTTAGACACACATAGTGCTAGTCAGAATACCTTAAACCAAGACTCTAAGACCAACTTGTAACGTCCCATATTTCAAATAGAATTTTTATTTCTAAAAAAACAATGAGAATCATGTTATTCAATCATAATAATAATATCTCAATCATTTTGATTAAATAAATTAGAGTCAAGAAATTATATGTGCATAAATATCTGAAATCATAAAAGCCGATGCAATGCAATCATGTTGTGCCAGTCCCTTTGGTACGAGAAGTACCTAAAACACTTAAACTTAAAATTGTAAAAGCAAAGCTTAATGAGTTCCCTAAGATACCACATACAACCTAATGTAGCGGGCCTAGCCCAACGATCTATTTTAACCAAGCAAGCCTAGCCCAACAAACATATAAACATACAAGAATTTATCATAAAGTAAAAAAGCATTCCAATAAACATAATGTCCTACTAAGTAAAGTGAGAAGTCTCATCTGGATCAAGAGATGAAGACAACTATTCGAAATCCCAAAGGATTAGCTAAACAAACTGCCTAAACCAACAGAGACTCAAATCTCAGTCTATAACTCAAAACCTCCAAGTTTGACCAAAAGTCATACCAGTCAAAAATTAATGGTCAATAACCTGCATGTCGCGACCAGCTCCATGGTTGCACATCGGTCACTAAAAGAAAAACGGTCGCATTTGGACCTCACCACCCATGCCATAACCTACTACCTACCGCTCCATGGTTTACGTCTTGACAATATAATCCATACACTCTTAACGCTTAATACCTATAACTTAAAAGCTCATATATGATGCTTCTAATGAACTTAATGGAAGAAGCTCTTGAGTTTATCAATTACACCATCAGTCCAACTCAAAAACTCAAATCCTAACACTCAAATTAACCCAAGATGACCATTAAAACAATCATTACTTGAAATGGTGGAAAGCATACAACTTTTTGGGACCAAAAGGTCCGTAAATTATCCAAAGCTCAAGCACTAATTCTGGAGTTTCTAAAACTCCAATAACTATCCTCACAAATCAAACTAATGAATCTGTAACAAGCATAAACAATCATTAAGCCAAAAATATATGAACTTTATACCCGTAGAAGATCTTTGAGAAGCTTGAAAGCAAAAACTCATCTAGAGAAATCTTTTCAAGCTCCAATATCATCTTCTTCTTCTTCTCTAAATGGTGCTTCAAGGCTTAAACACTTATACACATACTAAAGCACAAAACACGCAAGGCTAGTGTTTAGTTCTCTAAAGTAGGAGGTTACAATAGAGAGAGACCCTAGAAAGGTAGCACCATTATAGAGAGCCTAAGACCCGAAATCTAGGATTTAGAACCCAGCTACCACCGCTCCGCGGTCAAGACCTGACCAAGCCGCTACTTAAGTGACGTGGCCGCGTCGCGTTCCCTTTCCATCCGTGTTGCGACTTCAGGTTTGTCCCAAAAACCCTATTCTGAAAATCTTTAAGTCTTTAACTGAATAATTTAGAAAGCCGATGTGACAACATGAAAGTAATGTTAACCATTTCCTCAATCCTTAAATAATTATCTTTAATTAATCTTTAAGTAACTAATCTATTTAATCTTAATCCCTTTTCCTAAATTTGAATTTAGGGTTTTAGGTTACCTAGTTTTTAGTTGTTTAAATTTAGCAAGTAAAATAACAAATAAGGAAACTAGGGAAACCCTAGTAAATTTCTAAAAAAAGGCAGGAGGGAAGGAAAAATTGAAAACCCCTAGAGAACTAGGATTTTCGATTTTGCAGGTTTCTTTTAGGGTTTTTACAAATATGCATCTTATAGACAATGCCCTAGGCTCTAATACTACTGATGGGTATTCTAGGTTACATAATAATTAATCAAAAATGATTTACACAACATAATTTCACATAAATAATTATGGGCACACACAACGTAGAAATCTATGATTTTTCTCATAAATAATGATGGGTATTCTAGAATTTTCATCTTTATTCAACTATTGACCAATTACAGTTTAACCTTTGCGCCTTTTGGTATTTTCAATTAACACAAAATTAATTCCTATTAATTATGATTAATTCTTAAATAATTACTACTATTTCAAATTAATATAATAATCACATAATATATTAACAAATCATTTAATCTCTTTTTTGGGCAAAAATTTCCTCGGCTAGCAACAAAGTCAGCAATATAATTCTTAGATCACTATAATAATTCATTTTGCAATACTTGATGTAAGTAATGTTAAATGAAAACAAGATGCTGCAAATAATGTATTTAGAAATTTGTCGCAAAATTTGGAATAACACGTTTTCATTTTTTGTCGTATATTTGTTGCAAAATTTTGTATGTTACCATTTCAATTTACTGGAAAATAAATTGCCATTTCAGTATAAAAATTCTAGATTTAATCTAAAAAATTTATGTTCATAGTTGAAATAAAAAAATTCCCAAACTATATATTCCAAAATTAGAATTTAGTGAAATGACACAAGTCTGTCGCTGATTTTTTTGAGAATTAACGTGTACATTCAGGACATAATAGATGCATGAATCTGATCTATTCATAATAGTTTCCATTTTCTAAATATGCACAATGTTAGATCATATGGGAGTATTTATATATGTATATACCTGCAAATTTGAATTTATTTGTGTCAACTATTAATCAAGTAGCGATTTTCAATATTTTGCAGATAACTTCAAGAAGAAATTGCATTTACGAAAGCAAAATGCTTAGAATGATGCTGGAGATTCCGATTCCTGATAAATGGAAACAGTTGTATTATGCATGGGATATCCGAGTGTTCATTATATTGAGTCTTTTCTTTCAAATGTTTTTGATTCTCATTGCTCCTTTGAGAAAACGAACAAAAAATAACTGGATAATCCTTTCATTGTGGTGTTCATATTTGCTAGCTGATTGTGCGGCTAACTTTGCTCTTGGGCTCATCTCAAGCAGCCAAGGGAACCCTAATGAGAACCAAGCCCAAAAAGGCGGTAGGGTGGGTATGCATCACAAAGACCTTCTCGCTTTCTGGGCGCCTTTTCTTTTGGTGCACCTCGGTGGTCCAGACACCATTACGGCTTTTGCGTTGGAAGACAATGAGCTGTGGCCCCGTCATCTTTTTGGTCTTCTTTTCCAATGTGTAGTTGCATTTTATGTGTTTATTCAGTCACTACCTGAAAATCGGCTATGGATTCCGACAATGTTCATGTTCTTAACAGGTTTCATAAAATATGCGGAAAAAACGCGTTCTCTTTTTCTTGCTAGTGCCAACAGATTCAAAGAGTACATGTTCCCAACTCCTGATCCTGGGCCAATGTATGTGAAACTCTCAATTGAATATCATGCGAGGAAGAAGGTGAAACTACCGACTAGAATTCAGATGGTTCCAGAGCCGGATACAGCAGCCAAATCAGTTATAAAATCTATAAAAGGGAATTTAACAGAGTTGGAGATGGTGCGACATGCTTATGAGTTCTTTAAAACATTTAAAGGGCTTGTTGTTGATATGATTTTGATCAATCGGAGGCAACAAAATCAGAGTCGGGATTTCTTCCTAAATCGGACCGCAAAAGATGCTTTCAAAGTGATTGAGATTGAGTTAAATTTAATCTATGATGTTCTCTTTACGAAACTTCCGGTGGTGTTTTGTTTAACCGGAGCCATTAGCCGGTTTTTATCTTTTGCAACAATTTGTGCAGCAATCTTTTTATTTATATTCGAAGACAAAACAAATTTCCGAAGCTTTGATGTGATGATTACCTATATTTTGCTGTTTGGTGCTTTGATTTTGGATGTGACCGCTCTATTCATGCTCTTGTTTTCAGATTGGACCATCATTTATTTATGGAAATCTCTTCATGTTGAGATCGACAACAAGTCTATCAAGACAACAATCATCAATGCATTCCTCAGACTCTTGACTGATCAGGGCACACTCTCGGACACAAAAGAGCATCCCCAGTTGACAAGAAATGCCTCTCAAACATGGGGTTCATGGATAACAAATGCATCACAAACTCGCAAATGGGAAATTAAGTTCTTAAGACGAAGGTGGTGGGAATTTATTTCAACTTACAACCTTATCTATTATTGCTTGCACCCACGCCCAACCCTAAATCAACGTTTTTTTGACAAGTTTGGGCTTACTAGATTTTTTGACGGGCTCAAGTATGTGGAATACAAAAAGGTCACCCAAAAACTCAAAGACTTCATCTTCGAGGAGTTAAAAATAAAATCAGAACTCGCAGATGACTTGGAAACTACAAAGGAGATAAGTTCAGCACGAGGAAGTTGGGTAATCCAGTTGCAAGAAGATTGGCATAGCTTACTTACACATGTTGTAGATGTTGACTACGATCAAAGTATCATTATATGGCACATCGCCACCGAGGTATGCTACAACAAAGAACTTAAAAAGGAACCCGTGGGTACCAAAAATGATCTTCGCGATATTGCAAAAGTATTATCAGATTACATGTTGTATCTTCTTATCATGCAACCAAACATGATGCCGGTAATAGTAGCAGGCATTGGACAAGTACGGTTCCGAGATACTTGTGCTGAGGTCAAAAGGATTTTAGATATTGGAGTTGATTGGGATCAGAAAAACGCTTGCATGATGATTCTTGACATACCCACGGATGTGCCACCAGTGACTATAAGTGGTGATCGGAGCAAATCCTTGCTATTTGATAGTTGCATTTTGGCCAAAGAATTGATGAAGCTAGAAGAGGACTCTAGTCAGGATAAATGGTTGATTATAAGCAAGGTATGGGTGGAGTTGTTATGTTACGGTGCAAGCCATGCAAGATCTAACACACTAGCAGACCAAGTGAGCAAAGGTGGTGAGCTCATTACTATCGTTTGGTTGTTAATAGCTCATTTTGGTTTGGGTGATCAATACCCAATTAATGAAGGAAAAGCAAGAGCAAAACTCATTGTTGGCAAGTAGTTTCATGTCTTATCCGGGAGTTCTAATAGATGGTCTAAAATAACACTAGGAAATACATTTTGTTGTTCTATCTCTAACCATTTGAGTTTCAATTTTAAATACATTTAGGGAGTCTTTAGAAGACATAATGCTTCTGTATCGATGAAATAAAGTTTTAATAAATAGACTCTTGTATTTCCCTTTTATCATTTGTCCTTTATCATCGATGTAAAGTTACTTAAGATAACACAAATGTTGAGGTAACTACATATTTTGGCTCCATCATCTGTAAAAAAATTATGGATTGAATCCATTGTGAAAATTTTCAATAAGTTTTCCCTCAAAGATATATTTATGTCGTTGTTTTTTTATTTCCCACATGTTTGTTTGGGTATAATATATTTTGATTTTACCTTTTCAGTCCCTAAAGTTTTTTTCGCCCCATTATATATTTCGATTTTACCTTTTCAGTTCCTAAAGTTTTTTCGTGCCACCTTTTAAGAGAACAAATTGGTTAGTGACGTGATCATCTAGTCCCTTAACCTTTTTTAGCCATAGACACAGTGGTTTATAGTTAATTAAAAAAATAAATTAAATGCACCTTTTTCTCTCTCTCGCTCTCTCTCTCTACATGTACATGAACGTGTTTGTTTTAATATATCAGATCCATTCCAATTTAGTTCCCATAAAACTTTAATCAATATGACCTTCATTCCAGATCAAACATAAGCAAGATTAAGATCAAACATAAGCAAGATCAAGATCAGAAATTAAGATTTGTATAAATCTGCCATGTCGACGTTTTCCAGCTCTAAATTCTAACACTTTCCAACCCTAAATTCAACATTTTCTAGCCCTAACAAATGGTTAATATTATAAAATCCCTAAATTTTTAACGCGTAATTGGAAAAAGCCATGATGTTTTTTTATTATTGCTGTGGCCACAACTTTCTCGCAGAATTATCACTCTAGCCCACTTAACGAGTTTCATGGTTTAGTTGGTTAACGTTTTTGCAAAATTAGTCCTAAAAAGTTCAAATTTAGTCCCTAAGGTTTGAAAAAAATTACACCACATGGTTTTTTTAACTTTATTTTTCGTTTTTTTTATATTTTATTATTTTCGGTTTTTTTTTAAATATATGTACATTTTTTTATTTTCTTTATATATATATATACTTTATTTATTTTCATTTTTTTTTTATTTTTCAACAATTTTTTTTTAACTTTTTTACCTTTTGTTTTCTATTTTTTAGTGTATATATAGAGTATATTAGAGTTTTTTTTTAGGTTTTTTCATATTTCTTTTCGTATTATATTTTATTTTTTGACCTTTTTATTTTTTTTATTTTTTTTCTATTTTTTGTTATTTATGGTTTTTCTAATATTTTTTCTAAGGTTTTTTCATATTACAATTTTTGTTTTCTATTTTTTTTTCTTATTTGAGTTATTTATGGTTTTTCTAATGTTTTTATTTACTTTGATTCAAGTAAACGAACTTTTGAATTCAATATAAATTACTATAACAAGTTTTTTTTATAAAGATCGACTATTATTATTTATTTTTTGGTTTTTTTAGTCTATTATCAAATTGAAAAATATTATCTTGAATTTAATCTATGGATATCACATACAGAAATATGATTTAATTTGCAAGTTATATAACACATTGAAACACTAATTCTTAGTAAACAAACTATTTTTTTTTAATTTCATTTTTTCGTAACATAAATATAATAGCACTAAAGAAAAAAAAGAAAAAAAAAAAAATAAGTTGGACCGAAATTACAAATATAAACATAACTACTTTATTTATTTGAATAAAAATAAAAAACAATTACAAAAACTATAAATTATCAAAATTGTAATATACTCTAATATATTAATACATTTTATATTTTTTGAAAAATGTCAATAAAAAGATAAAAATACAAAAAACAAAAAAAAAAAAAACAAATAATTGGAAAACAAATAAGAAAAAAAATAAAAAAAAAAAAGGTGAAAAAAATAAAATATAATACGAAAAGAAATATGAAAAAACCTAAAAAAAAACTCTAATATACTCTATATATACACTAAAAAATAGAAAACAAAAGGTAAAAAAGTTAAAAAAAATTGTTGAAAAATAAAGTTAAAAAATGAAAATAAATAAAGTATATATATAAAAAGAAAATAAAAAATATACATATATTTATAAAAAAACCGAAAATAAATAAAGTATACAAAAAACGAAAAATAAAGTTAAAAAACCATGTGGTGTAATTTTTTTCAAACCTCAGGTACTAAATTTGAACTTTTTAGGACTAATTTTGCAAAAAAGTTAACCAACTTAACCATGAAACTCGTTAAGTGGGCTAGAGTGATAATTCTGCGAGAAAGTTGTGGCCACAACAATAATAAAAAAAAATATCAGGGCTTTTTTCAAATATGCGTTAAAAATTTAGGGCTTTTATAATATTAACCCTAACAAAACCAAAAATAATTTGTGGGTCTGTTTGTGTTCATTGTGTTTGAACAATTGAACATATAATCAAAATCGACTTCGACGGGAAACAACACAATTAAACATCGCAGGTAGGACCGACTATCTTACAACCACACCGGCGTTCTTTTGATACTAATGAGAGTTTGATTCGGTTGCTTACGTTTCCGTTCAGATCTAGGAATTGAAACTCGATATATCTTTTTGTATCTTCCTTCCATCCTGGAAGTTCCATCGAACCTACAAAATCTTAAAACAAAAGCCATCCTAGAGATTCCATTAATGGCTCTGTTAGAGCTGTTTGTATTTTTTTTCTTCATTCCTCTTTACGAACTTCGAATCTCAAGAAAACCCAACACAAATTCGATGGAAAAACCAAAAGAGTGGTGTGTGGCGTTGCTTGGTGCACTGATGATTTCAATATGGGATTAGAAAACCCACAGTCCCACGAATCATCTGTAGTAGAGTCCAATGATTGATTTTGATTCTTGGCATAATCCAATCATACACCGTCATATTTGGTTTAGGGATAGATTTCAAAGACAATGAATCTGAGAATTACGATTTGGTATAGAGAGAGAGAGAGCCATATATATATATATATTTTTTTTTAATTCTAAAGTGAAAAGAAATTAATATAAATATAGAAATTCAAACGTCTATGAACCAAAAGTAGAAAATGAATGTCAACGTAGCAAAGGGATAACCAGCCAAAAAAAAAAAAACAGTTTGTTTTGTTAAAAGGCATGGAAAAAAATAGAAGGACCGAAAAGGTAAAGCTGAAATACATAATAGAGCCATTGCGTCATTTTCCATATAATATATTGAAATATATAAAGTTTAATTATATTGAAATATATAAAGTTTAATGAGGGATGGTTCATTGATTTTGAGGCTATGTGTGAAAAATAAAAGGGTTATAATTATTTTTAAAAACTATATTTTCATAATGTCTTAAAGTTGTTATGTAACCGATTTTGTGCATTAAAAATGTAACAAACTCATTTTTCTATATGATTAATTGTTATGAAAAGTTAGTTTCTACAAAAACTAATAACTCAATTAAAATTGTCCCTAAATATAACTTTTATATATATAAACCAAATTCATTACAATTGCTATCGAGTTCTAAGTAGTCAATTAAGATGGGTGATGGTGAACTAAAAAAGAGAAATTGGTTAATAAAGAAAAACGATCCATTAAGTGGGCGAGGGTGAAATAAAAGAAAGAAACTAGTAAATTAAAAATATGATTACACAAGAATGAGGAATCAAAAAACTAATTATATACATATTAATATGAGTAGTGTTTATGAACAACGTTTATATTTGAGGTGGTGGTTTCCTGTTTTGATGTTGCCGACAGGAATTCTCTGCTTATTGGTTGGTTTTCGCCATGAATCGGAGCACCGCCCTTATGAATCAATCGTTTCCTTCCACTTCGCCTATCGACTCTGCTCCTATCTATCATGTTCTTCAATCGGCTATGTGTTTATTTGTTGTGCGTTTTCATCCTTCCGTCTCTGCAAACTTTTATGCGCTTCTCCATATCTCATGTATCTTCTACTGAAATTTTCTGTTGTATCTTCTATTAGGCTAAAGGGAGCGGGGGCGCCAAGCCCACTCGCCAAAAGCTTAACATGAGCAAAACACCACTCCTTACATCATGTTAAGCAGACACGCTAAGTAGAGTTCGTTAGTTCACTAGCGAGAAGAGAGAGAGAGGAAAAAATTCTTTGGTGTGGGCTGTCGTTGGTCATTTTGTATTTATTTTTATTTTTTTTAAATTAAAAGGCTGTGATTGGTCATTTTTTATTTGCATTTTTGTTTTAATATTTTTTCTCAAAATCCAAGTGTATATATTTTCTATGACAAAAGATTCGGTGGAAGAAAAAAAATATGATATGGCATGTTTTAACATCTCTTTAGCATGCGCCACCACTCCCCATACGCGTTGTTCCTTATTTTTATGTGGTTATTGTATTTGGGAAATTGGAGCTGCTAGACGTGGGTTTTCAAGAAAATTATCAACAATAAGTTGCAGTCTCCCATCCTCTCTTTTTACCATCGTCACTAGTGTTTTCTCTGAAAAATTTTAACAATAAGTTGCAGTCTCTGTCGGCACCTCCTCTACACTAAAAACCTAGTTTCATCTTTCTATATGTACATATAGGTACACATACAAAACCCATAAAAGTACATCAAAGATGGGAGATATTGAGATTTGAAAGGAAGTTTCACTATGCACTCCAAAAGGTAGATGAAATGCTTCAACCAGGGTGCTCCGGTCCTTTAAGGACAATAACAGAGCAACATAAGAGAAATTAGACCCATTAATAGTGACTATAAAGTTTTCCCTTTAATTTCCAGGTTTATCTTTTTGTTGACCGTTTAAGTGATTAATAAGTTAAGTATGTGATTAGTTTTTTTTTGTTTAACTAAAGAATAGGCGATTTCTAATATGTGCCCTAAGGGCACACATAATAGCTATTAATTATGGGAAATATTACCATAATTAAATGTGAAGTGCACTAATTATGAAT